AATTAGAGGATATCAGAGAAATGAATCCAAAACTGTAAAGTAGCAGAGGGAGACCATTCAGAGAGTAGATTACAGAATAAAATGGAGTAAACTCCCATGGCTCCCATGGTATATTTACACAGATTGTACAAAGCTTGTGTATTTACACAGGAAGTACAAAGCTTGTTGGACTTTTTCACCATTGCTGTTCTGGAGTCACTGTTTCTGTTAGGATCTTCGCTGTTTGCAGCAGCTCATGTCTCACGTTGCCATTCTTGCCCTCCTGCTTCCCTGCAAGAGCTTCAGAGCAAAGGGTTTGCAGCAACATCTCTGATTTCTGTGGATTTTGTAAAGGTCAAGAAAAAGAAAAGCCTTTCATTAGAACTCTTAATAGCATACATTATAGCATAAAATAAATGATATTTACACAGTGAAGAGTAGCTAAAAGATAATGTTTATGCTTTTCCCCTTCCTCCAAGGAGTATTTTTTATATATATAGTTTTTGGGTTGCATTCACTTTGTATTAGGATTTCATGTTCTCCTCTGACTGATTGCTCTTTCAGTCTGAGTCAGTGGATATGACCTTAGGATGACATTTGCAGAGAGGCAATGACTGCAATAGCTGTGTGTTCTTTCAAAGCTCACTGGCATGGCAGGTTCGGGCTGAGTCACCAGATACCTGAAATAAGGCTTAGGACCCTAATACAGGGTGTTCCCCATTGTGATCATATCATGTTTCCAGAAGAGTGAGGGCTCCGTTTTGATTGCTTCTGAAAGGTTGAAGCTTTCTGTGAAGAGCTACTGTGCAAACGTGGAGGTTGCACACTGAGCAAAAGTCCACCCCAACTTAGGGGAGAGGATTAGGAGCCGTTGACATGAGCTAAATCCCTCCTGATTATTATGTTCCCAGTAGAGCAAACTCCAAGCACCTACATCTTTGCAACAATGAAGTACTGAGGCAGCAGACTCAACAAGGAATACTGTATATTGTATTCCCTATCCCTGGGCATGTGTGACACTGCACCTTTTCCCATGCAAGTGCCTCTGGCTCCTTGCCTCTCTCAGGGTACTGTGGCCAAAGCAATCTTTAGTTCTTGCAAAGGAAATTGAAACTGTCTTCCCCTGTGGGAGTTTCTGTCTCCTTGTTTGAACGTGGGTTGTATAGCGGGAGGTACAGGAAGATTGTTTTTGGTTCTGGCGTTTGCATTTAATCTTTGGGAGTGTCTGATGGAAGCACAGCATGGCACTACCAAATGCAAAGCAAAGCTCTGCTTACTGGAATACGATTGCGAAAGGGGCAGAGACATGTGCTCTAGGTCTATACTCGCATTGAGAGATACCACCCAAAATATCTTGCTGTCTTTCTATAGTGAAAAAGTTCAGACAAGACACAAGTGACAAGGAAAGAGTTCAAGGTACCTGGCACACACAGTCTGTGACAAAGTATTGCGGGGTTGCTCTGCTTTAAGCATAAGAAATTGTCATTAGGAAACCTAATCAAACAGGTGCCATGCAACTTCATAATGCAAGAGGTCCCCTCAGCTGGATCTTTTTGCATCTCATATCCGTGTGCATTCAGCAGTTACTACTGTTACATGCTGAAAACTGTACCTATGAATGGCAGGCAGAAATGAGGTGGTTAGGTTACCTCCTGGAGCCACATTTTCCGTCTCGGAACTGTCACTGTTACAGCTAGTCAGTATTTTTTTGCCTTCAGAACAGGCACTGCTGAGCCAAGCATCTGGGTGCAGCAGAGGTTGTCGCTGCTGGGAGTTACAGGCTAAGGATGAGAATACATTCAGTGTTGTGACCGTTCTCACCTGTATTTCATCGTGTGATGGCAAATGCGTTGCCAGCTTTGCACACAGAACAAGTCTTTAACTAGGTGAAAGGCCTCTAAGGATGCACAAATGAACTTTCTTTTTCCACAAGCCTTAGCCACCTGATTAATTTGTGCTTTAATAGAAAATAGCGCTTAGTGGAACTGAAGGGCTACTCAATTCAAGTAACTGTATTAGCGGCTGCAAACAAATCCAAAAATAAAACATGTTAAATGTGCTTTCCTGACCTGGCTTCTGATGGCTATTTTGAGGAAACATAAAAAATAAAGAGAACCTTGTTGTTCACTTAGCCATTTACTATTTTTATATGGTTATCCTTTGTCTTCTCTCAGATTCAACTCTTTTTTATTGCTCCCTGTTTGTGAGACCCTAGCTGACTCCCCCATCAGCATGAGTTGGCTATTTCCATCATTTTCTATTTAAAAAGAAAGCAAACAGATCTAATGTGCAGTGTCTGAGTTTGAAGTCTGTCCCAGAAAATGGCATGAATTTATGTATTTATTTTTGCAGGTGACATTTCGTAATCTCTTGGAATTTCTCAGGGTTAAGTTGAAAATGCAAATTCATTACTGGGTGAGTCCCAGGGGAAATATTAACAAATCTGATGCAATGCTAATAAATCATAATGATTGTTATTATTATGCTTTGGATGTGTTGTAATAAAGACACGACATTGTTTTGGAAAAACAAAAAAAAACCTCAGCCTACAAATGTATGATTTCATGACTGTGTAGTAATATTTCTGTAATTAGTTTTTCAAACTTCTATGAGGTCTTCCTCTGAGGATAAGAAAGTATTTCACAGATACTGATTAAATAAAGTCCTATTTGTCAATCTCTATCCATATAAGTAATCTTGTTGGCTTCCTGTCTATGAAGAAATCTGAACTCCTCTCTGAAGTTAATGCATTTGGTTATTCACTGACGCAGATGAGACACAGAGGAGTTAAATGTTTTACTCAAGAGAAAAGTGAGAGTCAGTGGTATGTAAAAATAGATCTTCAGAAGCACTTTTATTAGAAAAGGGTGCAGCAGCCTTCATAGGTGCTCCAAATACATCAAATCCCTGATGTCCACAGTGATGCATTCCTTCAGCAATGGGCACTTAATGCTGCCTGGTCTGGCCAGAGTCATGCACCGAGGGAGACATTCATGCAAAAAGCTCCTCCATAGTGGAGCTTCTCTCCCACTCTCCATCTACAGCTGGCAGTCCTGCTCCATGACCTACCAGCCTGTGGCATTTGGTTTGCTGAAATTTGGACTGGGGGAAGAGGCTACAGTACTGTGCTGTGCTTGGCAGGCACTAGAGGACCCTGCACCAAAAGCAGCCACCCAGCCGTGGCCCTTGCCACTTCATGCTGTGTGTCTTGCATGTCTCTGTACAGACACAAACATCTGGTGCAGTGCACAACTTGAATGGTCTGATCTGTATAATGCTAAAGAAAAGCAAGGCATGGGCAAGGACTTATGGTGACATGTTCCTAATTTCTTGTATGCCCCAGGACTCAGAGTATGCTTCATACAGTTTCTGTGTGGGAGGGATGCACTGGGCATTGCAAGGAAAACCAGGAGTGTGGGAGGGAGGGAAGTGCAGTGTGCTTGGTGTGAATGACATGGGTTACCTCCTGCAATGTTCATAGCTGCTGGGACCTTGAGCTCCAGTGTCTTTTTTTTCTGATTAAATAACCCTTACTGGAAGACTTACACACCCTTGTCTTTTCCAAGTCTGAATCTGCAATGAAGTATCAGCATTGTTCCTTGAGTTCAGTGGGTCATCATGCAGGCCATAAGAGTGCCAAGGGTGTGGATCTGATGAGAGGCTGCCAAAAGGAAAGCAGAAGGGTTAGATCTGGGAGATATTCACTCTTGTTTTTAAGGCAAGGCTGATTGCAATCTTAAAATAATATCAGGAAAAAAAGTGTTGGGTGTTGTTTAAAAGTCACAGAGGGTTGGCTGACATGCTGTCAGGGGTGTAGGAGTTTCACACCCACTCAGTGACAACATCCATGGCTCCTTTGTCTGCCTCAGTAATTGTTGAATGTCCTTAATTTTGGACAAAGCAATTGCCCTAGAACTGGTGATGAGGGGTAGATCATTTTTCGGGCAGCAGAGAAGAGGGATGTGTCATGGAATGGCTATCTTCTTGTGCTGGAGCACATCGGATTGAAGAACAGACATGGAGAAGGAATGATGCTGGTCCTGAAAGACCCTAAATGCAAAGCAGGTAAGTTAGAAGGGATCATGTAGGAGTGGATGATGCTAAATTGGTTCTCTTCCAGATTGCTCTTGACAAGCCTTGGATGGGGTTGTTTATGCAGTGACAGGGTGAGTACAACTAGCCTGAGGCTCAACAAGGTGTTCTGAAAGGAAACGAGACCTGTTGCAATCCAGGCTTTATTCTTTTTAAATGCAATGTTTTGTCACAGGAATTAATGAAATAGGAGCTGAAGGAAAAAGCATAGGCATCATTTTGATTCTGTATTATACTGTATTATACTTCATTCATCATATTAGCTAGACAAATACACAGTAACCATCCCAAACGGAGGATTATGCCCATGTTCCAGTTAATCCAGCCGCGTCAGCTCTCCCGTATGTGCCTGACTATTTCTTATGATCAGAGCTCTCTCTTCCTTTGCCAGTTTGCCCTATAACACATGTGGGGACAATGGCTGCCATTTCACTATTATGGCCGAAGGCAGTGTTGTCTTTGAGGGTCTTGTCTTCTACATTTAACTGTTTTGAGAGCTGTTCTTCTCCAGTAGTAAGCTCTTATAAATATTACTTGGAACAGGTTCACAGCTGCTTTTGTCATCTTTGGAATTCTGAAGTTTCAAACCTTGTAGCCTTAAAAATGCACAAACCACTCTAAAACATCACTAAATACCCACAGTAATGTTTGCCTGTTTCATTTAATGTGCAGCAGCTAAAGGAAAAGTAAATTGAGCTCCTTTCACTCAAGTAAATAAAACTCTCCAGGACAACATATTTTACTTCAGAATTATATGGTAATTTCTTTTCTTTTTTTTTTCTTTAGGTTCCAGAAACATGTCCATATATGGTCTACTTGTCAGGGACAATAAATAATGATGTAATAGAAAGGTCAACTTTGTGTCATTTAGTTACAGGATGCTTGATGAAGTGAAGTTCCTCAGATTAATGCAACAAAGAAGAACTTTAGAATGGGAAAAAGTTTCAGCAGTACATCTTCAAGCAGGAAATCTGAGATTCAGAACAACTTATATTTTGGCTTGTATTCGCTGATCATGGGGTGATCCAGAAATAAACTCCAGGCTTCAAAGCGAGAGTGTTTCAAAGCTGTCCTGCAGTTGATCGAAACATCCAGGCAAAGCAGGGAGATGAATACCAACAAGGATTTTCTGAACTAAGACTTAATCAAGGAGATAACTAATTTCAACAATATTATTACCCTTTTATTTCAGAACAAAAAGGTAATGCGAATATGCATGTTTTGAACTTATTTAGCATTTTCAATCTCTCTTTTCTATTTGCTATATCGGTGTAAATGCTTATTCCTACAGCAGTTTGTAACCTAACACCCTAACACAGTCTTGGGAGGTTTTGTGGTTTCCTTTTGTGTTTTTATTTATTTATTTATTTATTTATTTTTACAAATAAGCCATACAACACTCACTAGTGTTAAGCAGAGCTGTAGTTCTGTCATTTCCTTATTTTTCTTTTACTTGCAGGTGATGTTTTTATCTTTATCCCTTAGAATAGCTTGCTCAGAAATAATTGTTGTTATTATGACATGAAAAGGTAAAACATAGTGTGCAAGGCACAGTGCAGGAAAAAGATGTCATCAGCAAACAATTTCTTTCATTTATAAATTTCCAGTTGGTATGACACAAAGCTAATATTGCACTTATTGCTGTGTGAATTAATGCTTTCTGAGAAGAAATAAAAGCATGCAGGTGTATGTATTTCCAGTAAAGATTTTGCACAGAATCACAACTTGATGGCATCATAACCCAAGCCAGACTGATAGGTGACCTGTTTTGACAGCTGGGGCTGGACAAGTAGATTTGTTTGTTTGGAGGATTCCTTTGGGAAGCCTGGCTTTGCTCTTCCAGCACTGGGCTATAACTTGACCAGTCTGCATAAGCTGTCATTACAAAATGTGTTTGCCTCTCGCTGCAGCTGGACTGCATGATGTGCTGTGCTTTTCATGCCCCAGCTCTGACAGGTCTGATAGGCACTGGAAATCTTTCTCTTTTTAAAATATCATTTGCCTCCCAGCAGTAGTTAACAATATATTTCAAAAGCTGCAGAGATGTCTGGAAACTGACCCAAAATATAGAAAAAAGAAAATGACCACTCTAAGTGCTGTAAATTGGTCTAGTTTCCATTGCCAGCAGAGGATCTGGCCTGAAAGGTGCAGCAGAAAGAGCTGAAGTGGAGCCTTGGTTTTCTGGGAAGATTTCCAGCCGTGTTTACCTTCCCCCTGTGTGCTCATGCTGCTTTCAGAAGTAAAGGCAAACACACAGAGTGGTATCTGCAGAACCTGGGGCTCACTCACGCCTTGTGAAAGGCAAAAGGAGCAAACCACTCCTCTTCTCTCCCGTTTGCAGCCTTTCAAAGACTTGTTTTTGTTTTTTAGATATGTGGTTTATCTCACCCTGTGCCATAAATACTGAGGTCCTGTATTGAGTTACAAGCTGACCGGGTAAACGAAGTGCAAAGGCAGGCAAAGTCCCTGGCTGTGCTCCCTTAATGACCTTGTCACTCACCTGCCACCCTCCTCTGACAGCAAGAAGTAATTCTACTAATTCTGCTGCCTGGGGTGCATTGAAGGACAGGCAGCCTTGCTAAGCTTTTCTTGAAGGGAGTGCTATCAATGGGGACCAGTTGTTTCAGATGCTAATGGTGTCGAACAGTGCGCTCCTGCATGTTGAGAGCCAGCTGTAATCCTCGTTGTTTATTTATGCTGCACCAGGAATCGGAGGCCCATTCTGCCAAACACTGGATGTTGACAGAGCCCGCAGTCCAAATATAATAGCATCCTAATTGTGTTTGTCTGTGGCTTTTACCACAATGTGAGTGGTTGGTTGCCAGTAGTCAGCTGGGAGCAGTACCTCTGCTTTCAGAGCCAGGTAGAGCTGCTCGTTGCAAGGTGCGGGCAACGCCTGGGCCTGCCGCCACCATGTCCCTGCTGGCCCTACCTGCTGGGCCCCGCGTGCAGCTGCAGTACCTCTTTGTGGCACAGACCTGATTGCTACATCAAATAAGCTCACTGAAACCAGGGGAGCAAAGTTACGAATCAGGTGGAGATGTTGTTTATGTCAGGAGAGCAGGATCAGGCCCGAGGTGGAAATAATGAGGAATTTAGATCCAGAAGATCTTGTCGGACTGAGGTATTAAGTGGTAGCAGAGGCAGCAATATCCTAAGATGTGTCTCTAACAGGAGAGTTCACTAATGAGGCAATTCAGACCTGAAGGCAGAGTGTTCTTCCGTGACTAATACAGGCACTATAACCACAGCTTTAAAAATCAGGTTCTGTTGTTTTAAAGTACAAGCAATGTGTTGTGCTACCTGTCTGTGAGGATGGGCTCTCGGGCTGCCAGAGTAGTACAGGCCAACGTGCAAACCTCCCACAAAAAAACTGGAGATAAAGTGGACAATTAAGCCAGCATTTAATTTCTAGATCTGATTCTAATATTTTAAACCTACAATAAGCAGTATTGAAGCAAGTAAATAGATTCATGCTGACTGTAGAAAGATCACTTTGGCTAAACCTTACTTAATCAAATTGGTTCAGCCATTCCACCCAAGGAAAAAAAAATATATATATATATATATTTTTTTACATCTTTGTTACTGCAGGTGGAAAATAGGTAGCTTATAGCACATTAGCCTAGTGGGCATTTATAAGGTCGTGGTTGGAAGTTCACTGCTGTCCAGCCAAACAGGGCAGCAGCAGGTGAGTGACTGAGCCCAGCCCAGGGGGAAACGAGGTTAATCTGCATCCTGCTGCTGTGCACCAGCCTCCAGCGGAGGGCATGCACCTGGGCAGCTACCACAGCTTGCATGGTTTACAGCAGCTCCCCACAAATTAAATCTAGATCACTGTGACTCCACAGCTGCCCACCAAAGCATCTCAGCAGAGAATGGCTTCAAACCCAACTTGAATTATCTCTGGGAGGGTTCAGGGCAGCCAAGGATGTCTTTGGCTGTCCGTGTGGGCCTGAAAGCTCCTGCAGCCCCTAGATGTGACCCTCACAGCCACACTGCGGTTGTGCCAGTCAGATGAGCAGCACTTAAAGATTTCTCTATTTCGGGCCCCACAACATTTCTGCCTGCAGGATGAGTCAGTGGTGGGAGCTGCTGCCAGCACTGTTGTTTCTGCACTCCATGGGTCTCCTGTCAAAATATTTAGATTAGTGAGGATCACCAACACGTGGGGGAGGTTCTCCCTTTCCTCTCGAGTGGGTGGGACCCATTTAACCCATACAAGAGTAAGAGGATCAAACAGGAATGATCCCCAAGTTAAGAAATGTTCCTTTTCCCTCACTGTGCCTCAACAAGGCAGGAAACAAAAAGAGGGAGAGGAAGATGTCCAGAAATGGCCTTTGTATCTAGATCTGGTAGGGGTTTAAAGGGGCACCTAAATTTGGCCAAGTGTGCTGGAGCATGGAGTTGCATTGTTGCTGCTCTGCCCCTGTGCAGTCAGGATGTAGGTGGTGGTGCTGGAGAGGACACATAAGAGGCATCTGTGCCCCATGCTCCACCAGTGCAGGTTCTTCTCAAAGAACACTTCAGCTCTATTCTTGCCTCCTCCAAAGAGTCACTGTGCATCACCTTCATTAGGAGCTTAGGATAAGATCCTGCCCTCTCCACTAACAACTGAGTTTAAGTCTCTGAGTCACCACCTGGGCCAGGCCCCTACATCTGGGCACAAAAGTGCTGGATGTTGCAGACAGGCTCTCTGATTCCAACCCGTGGGTTTCACACAGCCACAGCACTCCACTCACTACGTAAGTACTTAGGCTGCGGGACTGTAAGTGTGCTGCCCAGCATGCCAGCAATTGAGCAAGCCAAACAGCAGCAGAATTTGCAGGGAAAACAAGGCTGTGTCATGGGTTTGAGCTAGCCGTGGGCTGGAGTGCAGCCAGAGACAGGTACTGGAGTAGCTGGGGTATGAGGTGACAGCAGTTCTTGTATAGGAACTGTCAGTAGTTTGATGCCTGGTTTCAGTTCCTTGGGACTGCAAGGGGTCAGAACAGAGCTGAAGTGCACCAGCTCACACTAGAGCAGCCTTCAGAAATCTGGGGAGGGGGAGGGGGGAATAAAAAAAATAAAAATGGTTTGCGTTATATACAGGAAAAAAAGGTTTTATTTTGGCAGTTTTCATGACTGCGAAACACATCCTTCATCATTAAGAGTCATAACGTTGATCTGAAATCTGCTGGGCTTCCCTTTCCCACTTCCTCTGGGGCATGCTTGGAGCTTGAGGGGCCGTGGATGTAGCAAACATGACTGTTTCTGAAGTGAAATGCTTAAATCCAAGGTTTTAAGTTTCTTGTAGCTTGATTCAGACTCTTGCATTTCTTTAAACACTGTGTGTATACATATACATACATATATATACATATATATTATGGTTAAAGAAATGACCATGAGTGTCTTGATGCACGTAGCTATGTCCATTCCCACATGTGGAGTTAGTTTCCCCCAGGTCAGGACTGTCTCTCAGCTGTGCACACAGCAGCAAGGGCTGTGGGAGCAGAGCAATCCCCTGGCATAAGCCCCAGGAAGCCAGTCTGCCCTGGGTGACTAAGTGGGAAAGAAAGGTGGAAGCATCACTCCATCAGTGGGGCTCTGGCATGGCAGGGGCGGGGATCCCCATGCTCTGGTATGGTTGCTGGGGCAGGGACTGACACCCCTAGGGGATGAAAGGGGTCCTGACCCCCGGCGGGGGGAGAGGCAGCTTTGTTGAAACCCCACTGGTGCACTTAGCCAACCCCTTGCCTATGTGCACCTGGGGGATGCTTCTCCACCATTATATTCTGCTGTCTCCCTGTCCTCCTCTTAAAAGAGCCAAGCTTTTATCCCTTGATTTTGGGACTTTGATGGCCAGAATCCTCTCTGGCATCTGGAGTAGATCATGCTAGAGTATTGTACTGTTCATGGCATTATTTCATCCCTATTACTATTGGAAACACAGCAGTATTTTTGATTGTCTTTGCCTTTTTTGAGTCCATATTATGATGAGGGTTTGTAGTCATTCTGTGATTTCTGAGCATGCCCTTGTGTTTCCCCCACCTCTCCTTTCCAGATCTCAACCACCAATTTTTAGAAGTGAGTCTTCCCATAAGTCTTGAAACTGATGACCTTGAACTTTGTTCTGTGGGCAGCAAAAAATCAGAAGTGAAACTGAGCAGTGTCGTGTCAGAAACTGAGTGAGACAAAGAAAGTCACTTCAAAGAATATCTTTGCGTGTTGCTCAAGAGATCCCCAGATAGGGTGGAAGAAATTACTCCACAAATTTGCTTTACCCTGGCAGAGAACCTGTGCTTGCAGAAAACAAGCAGAAAGACAAACCTTGTCCCTAAATTTTCTGCAATTAGAATGAGAAATAACATAAAACAAAACAAACAACAGCAAAACACACACAGAATGATGCCCACTGGTGTTGACCTAAATAAACTCACTTCCAGGCTGTATCTCTTTAATCTGACGAGGATTTCCTTTACTGATTCTTCTCTTGAACTGTGGCAACCATAAAGAGTAGATAAGAACCTGCCTTCCTTGCAGCAGTTCCCTTCCCTGTTTAATCAACAGATAAATCAGCTACTTTATGTGATAGAAAGGAGTTCATTCAGTAAGTTCATGTGCAGATTTTGGATGATAATATTCTCTCCCTGGTGAAGGATTTCTGACGTGTTTGCCAGTCAGTCCAGTCGAGGGGCAGAGCTGAACAAAAGCACAAGATGGTTGAATTTCTTTGCTAATTCCAGATTTTGATTACTGTAATCTCCCTTTACAGGAAAGCAAAACAAACACAAAGGAATAAAAATGGCTACAACGGCAGCAAATACCCAAAGACAAACAATAGGCTGTGAGGAATACAGCCTGTACGGTAGCTTGAGCGAAGACGAGCTTATAAAAATGGCCATCCAGCAGAGCTTGGAAGAGGACCCGGTGGGCCAGGCAGCTGCCCAGAGCCACCAGAAGTCAGTGGTGGGGGGCCCTGGCGAGGCGGCCACCCCCAGCCGTGGCAGCAGCCACAACCCTCCCTACCAGCTCTACCCTTGGCAAAGGTGAGTGAGCGCCTGCCCAGGCTGGGCCATCTCGCGCTGCCCGCCAGCAGGAAAACAGCTTCCCCCGTCAAAACACGTGCTTTCTAATTAGTGCTGCTGAGCAGCTTCACGCGCTTGGTCTGCAAGCCTGTCATTAGTTTGAAAGCCGGAGCCTGCTATAAATCCAGTGAGGTCAACAATTTACATCCTCACGGTGAAACGAGAATCTGCCCGGAGCTGTCTGGTTTAAGTAATAAATAAAATGAGAAAGGGGCACTGCTGTGTGCTTTCCTGAAGGGAAGAAGCCCTGCTGAAGCCAGCAGTCCCCCTATCCTACAGGGGCACACGTTGCATCAGGCTTCAGCTTCACCAGAGGGAGCACAACATTTGTTATGGGAAAACATAGGAGAGAGGCCAAAACCAGACATATAAAACAGTGTGAGCTGGATACCTTTTAGATACTGTAGAGGATGAATTTCTTTCTGGTCCCAGGCATGCAGACTTGGAGGCACCCCCTGCTCTGCCACGCTGGGCTCAGGCAGTGACAGTGGGGACCTGCTGGCAGGGGAAAACCAGACTTTGTTCTTCTTTCAGTCTTTATAAGGCAGATTTCTCACGGATAAGGGGATAAAGATGTTAGATAGTCACCCCAAGATCAAGGCAGATACAAAAATAGCCTTTTAAAACTTTTTTTTTTTTTTTGGGGGGGGGGGGGGGAGGGGAGTGCAGTAACTGCAGTTTCTGTTCCTTCTGCCTTCTCATACCTCTACTGTCCTTGCTTGGTTCCCAAGGCTGGGAGGCTTGGGACAATCTGAGGAGCCGTAAGCATGCCTAACAGCTGCAGAACAAGGATGCTTTACAGAGTACACTCCTGCTCCAGCTGAAGTTTGTGGCTTCTTGGTGTCATTACAGTGCACTTGCACTGTCAGCTCTGCCGTGGGGACCCAATGCTGGACGGAACAAGGGCTTCTCTGGCCATTTGGTTCTGTCCTCCTTGGGGGTCCTTGCTATTTTACTGAAAGACTGCATCCACTGCTCTGTGCATTAACTTGTCCTGCCTTTGCTGCAGGCCAGCAGCATTTGACCTTTCAGCACAGCAAAAGCCTTTGCAGCTTTGTAACTCCAGGCTTGGAGAACCGCTGAGCTCTTCCACCACCCCGAGGAGTCAGGTGTCTTCCACCCCCTGCTCAGACCTGCCTGTGTGACACTTGGGGAGGTGACAAATGTCACCTCGCCTCGTGCCTGCTTCCTGTGTGGTGGCGGCAGGGTTAAACTCACTCTTGTCTTATATGGTCATTTGAATCCCCTGACGCTTCCTCAGAGGGCCAAAAATAATCTCGAGCTGAGAGAGCAGCTGAATCCAGCGTAGAACAAGCTGTGGCCATCTGCTTTTATTCAAAGCCCTGACCGGCAGGCTTCCTTGCTCCGTCTCTGCGGATGTGTGTCTCTGTTTCTGCCTCAACATGACCTGTTTCTCCTATTCGGAGTATTTCTCTTTATTTCATTCATGTCATCGCCACTCCAGATTGGCAGCCCAGCCAAGAGGCCGTGCTCAGCCTCCCAGCACAGGAGCAGCCTGGGGGGTCAGGCGAAGGTACGACGGCAGCCTGTGCAGCACAGCCCAGCCCGTGTAAGTGCCTCACCTCCTGCTCCCGCTCCAGACCCTCCTTGCTCTCTTCTCCCCCTTCATCCCTCTCCATCCCTCCAGTGCACACTTCCTGGGGACTTTGGGTCACTGGGTAGCTCTGGGAAAAAGCAGGGAAAAGAAATATTCTATCACGTTATATAAACAGGGCAGGAAAGTCCTTCAAAGGGATGTTGTATTAATGCTGCATCTTACCTGTCCGAGGGGCAAGGCAGCATGTCTGACTTTTGACCGTCCTGGCCACATTTTACTGTTGGCAGAGACCATAAATAAGCTCAGATGGCCACAGTCATGGTTGAGGAAAGCAGACAGGCAAGGGGGTAGCCCTGTTCCGTGCCTGGGTGTTGTGGAAGTGTCTGGTCAAAATGGATTTATTACAGCTCTCTGCAGGCAAAGTAAATGAAGGCACCTGCCTTTAGTGGCTAGACAAATTATTGCAGCAGCATTTCTCTTTGTCCTGCAGAAAACTCCTCCCTGCCTTTTTAATCCCAGTTTGAAACCGCTTTCTTCTACCCATCTTTCAAGTCCCTTGCTGGTTGCATGCTTGCAGTGACTACCTTTCCACCACTCTACTTCCTTTCCTCTATCACCCATCTCTATATTCTCCCCCATATCACCTATCACCCATTCTCCTCCATCTCACCCTGCTGATCCAGGCTCTGTCCCTTGCTCTCCGCTGACATTGCCCTCCCTGACACATGTGAAAATCCCTTTCTGCTGGAACATGGAGCCTCCCTTATCCCCATAACCCGACACCTCCTCTTGGTCCCACTGAAATCACACCCTCATGTTAAGTGTTCTGCACTCCTTGCACACCTCTCTCCTTCTCTGTGTGCAAAAACTGGAGGGACAGCTTCTTCTGCATCACATAGCTCAGCAGGGTTCAGTCCACAGTGTGGGCTGGGATAACACTGATAAACTGCCCGTCCTCTGCTGCCAGGTGAAAGCAGAAGTGTGGCAGGGTAGCTACAGGGGAGCGTGCTGTCATGGCTATTTTAGGGCCCTGGTCTCGGAGCCAGGCAGGGCAGATTGTTGGCTTCACCTGGAGAGATGTTGCTCCTTCCTGCTTTCTGCATCTCACCAGGCTGCCAGGAAAATGAGGAACTTCCTGAACCCTCCTGTGCTCCTCCGAACCTCTTCTGCAGCGCTCAGAATTGACCCCCCTGTACATCTCTTCTGCAATGTGTATTATGAGCATGGCTACTGGCGTTTGAAATGCAGTAATTCTTTTGATTAGTCTATAAAGTTAAGATTTCATCAGAGCTTTGGGCTTCCTCCATAGTCCTAATACACATTTTGTATATTTCTGATGAAATCCAAGCAGCAGAATGGTGACTTTTTTTTTTTTTTTAGATAGTTTGGTTTGGTTTGTGTTTTGTATTTTATAACAGCCAACTATGAGCCAAGCAGAAAACAAGGATTTCACATGGAGATTCATTAAACTTTCTGTACTGATCTGGAATTTGCTTGGCTAAAGCATCCACAACCTGATCCAGCAAACCCCTCTTCTTACTCAGGAATCATTTAAGGTCAAGGATCCCAACAGTAGCTTGCTTCATTCAGCATCTAAGGGCTCAAACTGAACAGTAACTGATTCTTCACACATTTTTAACCCTATCACTGATACGAGGTAGGCTGCTTTCACTGAGGTCCCAGCTAATGTGGTGCCCCTTGCATTTTCTGCCTGCAAGCACCATGCACAGACTACTGCCATGGCCCACCTGGCATGCAGTAACTCATTAAGCGCCAGTAACTATCGTGTGCTGAATCCTGAGGTCATGGTGAGCAGCCCAGCGTATGTAACGTGAACCTTAGCACAGAACAACAGATGGCTTCAGCATCCTTGTGCCAGAGGCTGTTACAGACAAAGATCCCCCACCTCCTCCTCCTGTCCCAGCCAAACACACCAATTGCTACTGGCTGACTTCAACAAAATGCTGGATTTCCAGCATTTATATAAAAGTCTCTTATCTATAATTTAGCTGTAGTCCTCAGGGTACCCTGAGAATATGAAGATGCAACAGAAGATGGGACCTCAGCCCTGCAGCAGGTCAGGTGATTCCTCCTGGCCAGCGGTGGCCAGGACAGCAGCTGCCTGCTCTGGCTGTTATCTCCTCATGCAAAATGCCTGGCTTTGTCCCCTATCTCCCTTCATTCCACTGCTGCTATTTTTGTGACTCTGCTGTCCTGAGACTGCTGCTCCCAGCTCTAGAGATACAAGTGGCACGAAGGACATTTTCATCTGGGGAATGGTGTCTTTCCCCATTCCTTGGCACACTGCTCCTGCAAGCTGCACTAAATGCAGAGGTTGTACCAATGATGTGGGTTATGAGGACTCCCATGCTGAGCTGCTTATTTTTTCCTGTCTCTAGTCTCACTCCAATATGGTATTTTAGACCTCCTGTTATAATTAGTTTCTGTCTGTTCTCAGTATCACTGCCTTCATCTCATACTGGGTTCCTACCTTGGTGATGCTAACACTCTCCCCGAGACAGACACCTCCCTCCCCAGTCTCTGCCTACAAAGCTGCAATATTTTCTCTACAGAGTTAGCGTGAGCTGCAGGCTCCCCTGGGTTTTCAACATCCTCATGTTCTCTGTCTCTGAAAATACAACCCTTGTTCATTTTTTTTGCAAGCCCCCATCAGAACTGGCTTGGGGTGTTTGCTGCCCTGGAGCTCTGCAATTTGCTGCCTCAGAATAAGGAAGCAGTGGCTGCCTTCTGTCAGCACAGCCAGGCAGAGAAGGACCAGGCACTGGTGCTGGAAGGAGTAGATTGCAGGCTGGGTCTATGCACAATTCAGGCTTGGCAAAGGAAAGGCTTGTCAGAGAGAAGCTCACCTGCAGGCTGCTCCTCATGTGTCACTTCTCAGGGCCATGGAGCACACTCCATGATTTTTCTAGGTTTTCACAGTGAGTTTCTTCTTCTACACCCCATGGAAAGAGATCAGCACCTCCAGACAGTGTTTCTTCTGATCTGTTGTGAATGGCTAAATTAGACCAGATACATTTCACCTTTAGAGGCCCCGTAGCTAGAAACAAATAATCTTAGCATATCAGCTGTAGGGGTTCACTGTTTTTGCCAAATGATACAATGATGTTGCTGTCAAAAGCTTATTGGGAACGAAGGAAATGGTAATCAGGTTTTAATCTTGTTTTAAAGAGAACTTGACCCTGTGGTGGCAGCAATCAAGGATGGAGATGAAAAAGCAGTGTGCAACATGATGAAATCAGGAAAAAACCTTTCTGAACCTAATAAGGATGGCTGGATACCCCTACATGAAGCTGCGTACTATGGCCAAGTGGGTTGCCTGAGTCTGTTGCAAAAAGGTCAGTGAAATTAAAACTAACTAATTACAAAAGGAGGAAGAAGAATATGAGTATACTAAAAAGCAGAATTAGCACCAGCCCTATCCTTTTCTTGGACTGTGTGTGAAGCTTTTATTCAACCTCTATGAGTGCATATTTAATTTAACATTGTCTTTGAGGATAGTTTAACAGACTTACGCCCCTAAGAGCTAGGATCTTCAGGAAAAAGTGATTCCTGGATAGATCTTGCCAAGCCTGAGACTTCTCACAGCAGTCTTGTAGTTGGGACCTTGGCTGTTGCAAACTGCTCAGCCACCACAGCAGACATCAGTGTCGCCTGTTAGCACCAGCTTTAGAGCCAGCCCAGCACCTCTTTCCACCTCTCTGAAAGTGGTTAACTACTGTAATTTGTTTTCAAACTGCTGCTGAAGTGCAGTTACTCAACAGGTTTCTGCATCACCAGTGGCCTAAACATTGCAATCTAAGCTAGTGACTGATCAGATTCATAGTAACTTTAGAGTATATTCTTAACTTTGTTTGCTGAAAACAAAAAGAGGAATAAACGAAGGAAACTCACCTAAAACTGTAAGGATGGAAGGGTGGCGGTGCTACAGATACTTGTGCTACTACCTGCCATGGTGACTTTGGGCTCTTGGTTTCTTCACAGCGTACCCTGGCACCATTGACCAGCGCACCCTCAATGAGGAGACAGCTCTCTACCTGGCTACCAGCCGGGGCAACCTGGACTGCCTGCTCACCCTGCTGCAGGCTGGGGCTGAGCCCGACATCTCCAACAAGGCCAGAGAAACTCCACTCTACAAAGGTAAGGGTGGTGCTTCCAGGGATGATGAGCTTTTCTGACACCACCAGGAGAGAGCTCTAGGTGCTTGAAGGATCAGCCATACCTTGCTCACCTCAGATATCTTGGCTGTCATGCCCTGAGGCTGAAACTCACCAATTAACTCATTTTGCACCCCATGTCCAACAGTCCTCTATCTCCTATGTCTGACCTGCCATCCCATAGCCTTTCTTCTCATTCACACCAGAGACATTTTAGATGCTGCCCTGGGGGCATAGGCTGTAACGTGGTGCTGAGGGTGGAGTGCGTGGTGCTCAGTGGGCTTCTCAGCACAGGGAGTCCATGCAATGTCCCAAACTTCGGGAAAGCAGAAAGCTGGATAGTACTGGAATATGTATGCCTTTCCAAGCAGTTGGTCCTAAGTAACTGTTCGGTGTGGGAGTGTATCAGCTGTAGACACGCCAGTGATTCATAGACAGGGCCAGGCCAGGCTGTGTGCTACAGGAGATGTATAAAGTTATAAACAATTCAGTGAAGAAGATAAAGTGTTTAACATGGACATACTTACATTGCTGCTGGTCAGAGAGAATGCTTTCTTCAGCAGAACAACATCTGATTTATGATATCACAAGGATTCAGAGGACATGAACTCTCACACCTTTGTGTCCATCCCCTTTGACTGACTGTTTCTGCCATAACTATTTTTAGTGCTCTAAGACATTAAATAGCAGATATTACTGCTTTCAACAGCAACCTTGCCTCCAGCTTTGGATGCCTGGCACTAGACCTGTTTAGTTAAAAATGCCTTAGTTGTAAAATTCTGGCTTACAGTCTGTCAAAGGAAAGCTGTTCTACTCTGGCTGTTCTACTGTGTGTTAAACACACAGCAACAGTGGTAGTAGCAGGTAGCAGTGTTAGTAGTAATAGTAGCAATAATAATAATGTGAACGCACCCTTTAACCAGAGAAAAACTATTATTCAGAATATACAAGTCTTTATGCAAAACCTTCTGGCCCATCCTCTAATAGAAAGAGTCACAAATTTGAAAGGCAAATTAACCATTCCTTGTGTGTTAACAAATTTAATTCTGCAGAGCTACCATGCATAGGTGATTATAATAATGTCTATTCAGATCGTTACTTTCAGTACATGTGAGTGACACCTGTGCATGGAAGAGAAATCCATGTCCATGTCCCAAGCGAAGAATCAAAACCAAAAAAGGACCACTGTGAGAAAAAGGAACTATTATATAAAACAAAACAAAAACAAAAACACAATTATTATAGAATGTGCTGGCCTACCTCTCTGCACATTGTAGAACAAAAGCTACAGAGGGGTTGTAAAAGTTTTTGATTATTCTAGGTGCCTTTAGTTTTGGGTGCCACAGTCGAAGTGTATAAGAAGGATCAGAAGCCTCATGATTTGGAATTCAAGAAGCAACGTGACAAACTGATGGTATAAAAAACAGTAGAATACTATTAATTACCAAGAAAACACCATTAGCTTGGGATGGTCCTGAGTTGTGAATTGTTGCAGGCTGAGAGAGTGCTACTGACTCACTCTGTTATTATTTTCTAAGGATCTTTTTCTGGCCACTCTTGTTTGTTTGTTTTTTTTTGTTTTGTTTTGTTTTCATTTTTTTGTCTATATAGAACTCTATTTGTAGCTCAGGACAATAAGATCTAGAGGCATTTTGCTCAGAATTTGCAAATACAGCATTCAGGTCATGTGATTTCTATGATTTGTTCATTCTTCATAAATTATCTCTCGTCCCTTGTCCCTTCCCTGTGTCACTATGATGTCCAGCTGGTACAGATGTGCTGGGCCAGACCCTCCTTAGAACTAGGCTTGGCACAAGTTCTGCACATAGCACAGCCTCCCCCAGCTCTGACTGAAGATTGGCTTCACTGCCACATCCCTTCCAAGCCCCAGACAGTGTCATCTGGCAGCAGCCTTAGCCATCATATTGAATGAGATGGTCTTATTCAATATGGCCAAGTTGTGTTATATTGCCTTGTGCTACATGACATGGATACCCACAACACTTAATATATTTTCAAAAGCTTGTACTGATCACTTTTCTTTCCTTCAAAACAGCCTGTGAGCGCAAGAATGCAGAGGCCGCCAGACTTCTGGTACAGTACAATGCCGACACCAATCACCGTTGCAATCGAGGATGGACTGCTCTCCATGAGGCTGTCTCCCGAAACGACCTGGAGATTATTGATATCCTGGTGAAAGGCGGTGCCAAGATTGAGTCTGCAAACTCCTATGGAATCACTTCTTTATTTGTGGCAGCTGAGAGTGGGCAGTTGGAAGCTCTGAGATACCTAGCAAAGTGTGGTAAGTAGAGTTGTGCCCTTGACACACCATTACTCCTTTCATACTTGATATTTCAAAGTTCCCATTACTTTTCCCTGGCTCAGCTTTTCTATCTCCAGACAAAGACTAGCCTGTAGAGCTGCTGAAACCCCTGTTGCTCCAGATGGCTGGATTTTGTAGGGTCTTTCAGAGAGCACGGTCTAAACAAATGCACGTTAGCATGCATTCGAGGTCACCTACCTCAGGACTTAATATGATGCTCTCTAATTGCTTGACAGCTTTCAAAACCTGTATTGCTGTGCATATGTAGCTTAAATCCAATCCATCATAGAAGAAAACTGTAGGTGGTAAGAGATGGCAGAAGTTGAATATCAGCCAGCCCCATCTGCTCATGAACATGTACACTGATGGGCAAGGTTATCTCTCCTCCACTAACGAATCCTGCTGGAAATAGATAGAGTACTATTGTATAGTTAATGGATTTACACCTAGGAGAAGCAGACAGTCTCCCTCATGTTTATGAGTTCAAACATATAAACAGCATGAATTTTATTCTAGTTTACACAAAATCTAACTTCTACTGCTCCAGACATGTAAAACAGCTTTACAATAAGCACAGACTTTACTACCATTCTGAAGAATATTTTATTATTGCTGTGGACTACTACCTTCGATGTAGGTAAGAATTAGGTCCTGCACTTGTGAAATGAGAGTTAAACAGCAATGAAGATAAGAAAAACTTCTAAATCAGAACCGCTAAGAAATATATGAGAGTGAGGGATTAAAAAAAAAAAAAAGTGTTCTGTCGTCCAGCTAACATTGTCAAGTCAGTTTTATATGACCATTTAGTCCATCAGACTGCCTACAATTTTAGAAACTAAGCTGGAATGTGATTTATGTTTCAACTTTGATAGATATTATGAGTTTCTTAAAGTTCAATTTTGAGAAAAATACACAAGAGAAAATCCAATAAAACTGTCCAGTTGTTTCAAGCCTTCAAAAGCTCCTCTGAGAATCCCAGAAATGATATCACTGCATTGTTTACAATGAACAATGTTCATCATAAAAAAGGTTTCTTTTTCATTTCTTTTTCATTAAGAACGTAGTCCTGTGTTATGTTTTGTCACTGCAATTCTCCTGATGTTTCCAGCTACAACATCTTCAAAGGGCCAAACACAACACAGATGTTTCATTTTGGGGTGAGAGCATAGGGAAATGTTCTCTTTGGCAGGGATTTTTCATGATCAAACGGGAGACTGATTGACTCCTTTATTGGAGTTTAGAAGCAAAACTCCAGCGGACTGTCATTCCCATTTAGGATGCACATAGAGCAGCCTTTCCCAGGACAGCATGGTAGAGTATATTGCAGTCAAAACTCAGTCTGCCAGGCCTTAAATATCTAGCACAGAAAAAAAAAAGCAAGATTCCAAACTATTTGTGGCCAAATAGTACCAGGGATTGGTTTATTCTTGCTTGTTGTTTATTAAGACAAGCACCCACTAGAGTTCATGAAAAAGTGCCCCAAATACTCTAGTAGCTCATTAATAATATTTATCTTTTCTTAGGTAAAATTCACCATTTGGGGCCTAAGTTGAAGCCTCATAAAATGAAAAGATAAAGCTTTAGGTGCTAAGTTTTAAATGAAATATTCATTAACTAAGACTTGCCCAAATGAAAGCTGATTAGAATTCTTGTTCATAACTATGCAGATGTCTTTATAAAATCCTGTTTTAAACTGTATATATACGAAAATTAAAATATATTATAAATAGTATAAATGTACATACATATATAACTACATAAATATATAGATTATAAGCAATTTAAAAATGAAATAAATATATAAATCATAAATACAGAATCATAGAATAATTTACTTTGGAGAGCTACTATTGAGGTAATTTAGTCCACACTTCTGCTCAGGAATATTATATATACATAGTGTAAATATCTAAGTACTAATGGAATTATTGTGTCCAAAGACAAGGCCATGATAAATAAAGAACAAGCATATTTTAAAGCATTGTCTTTGAGATACAGCTGAATGGAGCCTCCATTCATAACTGGGATCTCATGTTTGACACCCACTGTGTATTTTATCCTGAGAATATCTCCGCTTTCCTAGAGTGCATCGTCACTTTATCACTTTACTTTTCCCAGCAGTCTCTGTGTAAGAGTATGATTCCGTGTTTATACTCTCCCTCATAAAATTCACATCATAGTAAAAGCCAGTGGAGATCTATAACTGTATCACATTGTCATTTTGCTGTGATAAGACTTCATTCACATCCTCCTTCTGCACATGGTGTAGCTCCAATGTCATGGAGATTTGTGTGTTCAAAGTATGACGCTCCCCATCTTATTTTAACCTTCTGGTGCTACAAAGATGTTCTTCCTTCCTAGGTGCTGATATAAACACTCAAGCCAGTGATAATGCCTCTGCTCTTTATGAAGCTTGTAAAAATGGACATGTACCTATTGTGGAGTTTCTTTTGTCCCAAGGAGCTGATGCTAACAGAGCCAATAAGGATGGCCTGTTACCTCTTCACATAGCAGCCAAAAAAGGGATTTGCGAGTAAGTTTTAGTTAATTTCATAATTTCATCTTTTAGATAAAAATACAACGTCCTTATGAAAAGGAGAACATAATGTTCCAGATCCCATTCTGAGCACTGCAAGCAAGGGAGCTGCCGCTTTCAGAGCTTAGGCTGGAAATCATAAACTGAACAGAGTGTGTTTTCTGGATGGGGTTGTGTGAGCAAGGATGTGAGGTGAAAGGTCCCTTTAGCTTTGACAAGATATCACCTATTACAGCTAAATAACCCCATGCATCTTGAGAGTGGATTAAACTGAGCCCCACAAAATATGCTTGAGAAAGAATAAAAAAGCATCTGTCTAGTGGGTTAGTACTCAATAGCTATCACAACATAGCCTAGTCTGCAATCATTTTCCTACATAAATAAGCCCGTAGTAATTTTTCTCCACAAGCATAACATGCTGCATTCATCTCTGGTGTGTTCAGGTTTTATTAGCCGTAATTCAGCTGCTGACAGCAGGAAGTGGTTAAGTGAATCTTTAGGACATTAGTGAGATTGTTGCTAGACTATGGTGTCCAGTTCTGGTATCCTGCCTTTTAGAAGGCTTTCAGGAAATTGGAAAAGCTTCAGAAAAGAAGTACAAGGATCACCTAAGGTCTGGAAAACGTGCTTGTTAGTGAGTGATTAAACACTCTTTCATGGAACAGACAAATTCATAAAAAGATACTTTTTTCTTTTTTTAAATTAAATGTCTTTGGGATAGAACTGATTATATTCTGTAAACACTGAGAAAAGTACCTAATGGAAAAAACAATCTGGAGTTGAGTAGATTTACCAGTCCTCTGAAGTAGTTTTTTCTAATGGGAGAACACGTTCTTGCCTGAAATAAATGACAGCAGTTTAGGAGATGTTGTCTAGGGGTGGGATTGTTGTGCTGTCATGTAAGTAGTGCTTCCCTATCTCTTTCAAGACCCAATAGGAACTGACATTGCAACCTGCTTATGAGTCTGAATTCCTGAGCATTTCCTTCTGATCCCAGGGTGAGCTCTAGCTAACATCCCTGGTTGCAGTGACAGACCCCTTTGGTGACTTGAGTGGACTCTTCTGACTATAGCAATTTCTGTCAAAATCCTTTAAGCAGTGATTAAAAGAGGGAGTACGTCCAGCTACAAAGGCTGTTTCTAGATAGTAAAGCTATCTTTGCAGACTGCTATAGCAGATTCTTATGTATTTCACAATGTCTTTTCACTTCACAATGAAAACTTCTGACAGCACTACACCTCCCCACAGTATCTTTTCTCTTAGCATTTTGTCCCATTTGGGAATCCCAATTACACTTCTCAAATCACTTTTGTAGACCTGAGGATATTTATTTTGTGCAATTGCAGTAGGCCTGCTTCTTTGTGGAAGCTGTATTCAGAGGGCAGCCCAGTGTGAATTTACGTAATTGGTTTATATGCTTCTAGCATGTACATAAATATCTTGCATAGACTAATACAGGCACAATTCAACATTTTCTCCGGGGTTTGACTTACAAAGACAGTTTCTTGAAAACAAATGCATTTTAGATGAGAAATGTGCCAGAGACAAAAACCAGCTCCAGTCGCTCACTTTCAAAAAAGTTAATCCAACAGTACAGTAAATTGATCTGAATCCAATCTGTATGGAGAGTCCAGACCAGCTTTCTTAATCTATTCTTCCTCTCAGTAGATCCACACCACAATCTGAAAACAAATTTACATGGAAAGTCTGCAACCTGAGTCCATCCGTATATTATGAAATAAAGGGCCTAATTCAGAGGTCATTTCTATCCTTGCTAACACTGAGCAGCATAAATGAGACCAGAATTCAGCTCAAACTCTGTGTTTGTTCACTTGCAAAAGTCTGAGCACAAATTTTTGTGCACAACTGCCCAACTGCTGCAAACAGAACTGCAAGAGGATGAAAAAAAAAAAAAGATCTCTTATAAATATTTATCTAAATGACAAAGCTTTAGCCCGATTGGCTGATTGTTCTTAATTCCTTTGGTATTCAGTAAAATAACACCCTTCATGGCGACCTCTCTTTGTTGTATTCCTGCAGATTTAATACGTAATTCTGCAGGAATTCCACGCTTCAACTTTTTGCCAGAGCACGAAGGCTCCCTACCATCAAAAAGCAAAGAATGTAGTCTCAGGGCTCAACTGTCAACTCTTGTAGCTTCATGTTTGTTTATTTTAAATGACACCTTGTCAATACTGACATGAAATTCATAAGGGTCATCTCATCAGCTGTAGGACAATCACAAGCAGTCATTTAACCCATTCCCCTTTGGAACCAAGGAGCTGAGAAGCGTTTGTGAAGAGTGGGCAGATTTATTAAGTGCAAGTCAATAATCTCTTGTCACACTCAGGGTAAGGATGCTTTCTGCCTCTGCCCTATAATTTCTAGTAAATGGAGATCCCAAAAGCAGGTGTCAGGGATAAGGGGAAACTCAGAGCTATTTCAAAACTGTTTAAGAAGCTCAGCCTTGTGACAGACACAAGCTGTGGCATGGCTTGTCCAGCTTTGGCTGCCTTCACTTGAGCTCTATTCTCCTTCCCACCAGACAGGAAAGACTGCAGTGGTAGAGACACCACATTACTGAACCAACTCGCTTTGAAGGAAAAAGAAACAAACAGGTACTAGATACAGAACTAGACTGATAAAATACGATGATTCCAGACTTTCCTTTTTGTTCTCCCAGCAAAGGTACAGGCGTTGTACTGAGGTCTGTGGCACTGCAGCATTTGGATATAAAGCCTCAGTGTGGCACCCCTATGGTGAGACTCAGGTTCTTGCAGACAGAAATGAGGCAGGTTAGAACTCAGATGTGAAGAGCTGGTTGAAGGACATATTCTGGAGGGAAAGAGCAAAATAGACCCTTAAATCTTCAAAAGAGTTGATCATGAGATGACTAATTCTGGCACTTGGCATGGTGTCCTCACAGTGCTTTGTGCCCTTTCTGCTATTAGGGCTCTTACAGAAAACATTTGCTAATGGTGGAAAGTTGCCAGCTCACTGACATCCAATCCTCCTGCTCCCCAGTGAGCATCACGGTGCTGGAATGAGTGAGGATGCTGGAAGAAAAAAAAAAAATGCTTCACTTCCCAAGATATTTACATAATTTAAAACAACAACAGAACTTTGTTTTAAAAATAAGATGCATAAGTAACTTGGAGACATCAACTGTCCACCATGTAAATAGGAACATAATCCTGTAAAGTGTTATTCGTCTTCAACTCTTCTTTCAGCTCCTGGGAGCACTGGAGGCTCAGTCTTTCACAGGATCATTCAATGCATCACAAGCAAAGTTTTTTTCTTAGACTAGGGCTTATATTTTACTTAGTTCGATATGTAAATATACATTTGAGGGCCTAGTGTTGGAACCAGCCGTTGAAGCCCAGCTGAAGATGTGCCATATTTTAAAGAAGAGAGGCACTACTCATCAGGAAACTGAGCTCTGCATGTTTGTTAGAAGAGCTGTTGAATGCCAGATAGAGTCATCTGCATGAGAGGAAGAGGAGGAGATGCTTAACTTTCTGGCTGCCACAAGTCCCTTTTTTAGATGTCCCTGTCTCTGCAGGCATCCCATAGGGAGCATGGGCATCTCCTGGCAGAGTAGGCAGGCTCAGGTTGGATGGTCCATACTCTCTTCCTAGATCTATCTTAGGGTGACTGTCTGTATTTACAGAATCAGGATAGCACCTTAGCTAAAACACACAACTTTATGAGCAGGAAATGGGGGTTTAACCCATGGGTCTGGTTATGTAGCTCCAGTGACACCTGTGGAGACATAAAATGCTAGCGGGTTTGCAATGGCAGGGGCCTTGTACATCATATATTTGAAAATCTGATTACGTAATGAGAGCAGCCTGATTTATGTTGCAGTGCTAAAGGCTGCATCACACTTTCCAATAGCAATCCCTGCTTACTGGGGTTCAGGACTTGGCTGTACATTTTTTCTCCCTGGGCTAAAAGCATGGCAACCAGCCTAGAAAATATTTATGTTTCTTTTTCTCCCCTTTTCTAATTATCTTTTTGGCTCCCCATGATCTGGGATGGATGTTGATAGCCCCATGGATTTGCCACAGCCAAAAGCTGCACAGTGAGGTCCTCCAGGACGGGGCTTAATCAAGGGTAATAACTGAACTGTAAAATCTGGCATGGAGGTCTGGAAACCAAATATATAGTTTATCCCAGCTCTGTCCCACAGAGGAAGGTTTGGTTTCATCCTTTTTCTGGTCTCAAGCCTCTTGCTGCAGCTGTGACCCATGAGGCCGTCCAACGTCTTGTGTGGGTGAGCACTCAGCAGCAGAGCAATCATGATGAAGGTGGGGACATACAACCCCTCTTTCAACAAGTCCGGCCTACTTCCTCAGGCAGTTCTTCTGGCTCCTACCCACAGTTAAGTGGTGGAGGTGCAGAACTTATGTGAAAGCCCATCTGGGTGTCTGCCTTTTGGGTTGTGGCACAGGAGTGAGTTACAGCGGGATAGGTGAGGAGGCAGCACATTGTCTCTTCCGTTGTAACTGCCCCAGTGGCTGTCAATACTTCACAGAAATTGGGTGATAATTTTGAAAAATTTGCTCCTCTCTGAAAGAGGAGTCACCTAACTCACATTTTCATGAAGGTAAGAACATAGGGAGATGAAGACAGGTTTCAAGTTCACACTCTGTTTTTGCTCTGAGTGAGTTGTTCCTGTGCCAGTCAGTAGGCTCTTAAGGTTACAACCACAAAGCGAAGATTTGCAGTAGATCCATTAGAGCTCACCACTGCTCACTGGCTCTCCATCCATCAGGATCGTCTCCATGCTGATCCCCGTGACCAGCCGTACCCGTGTCAAGCGCAGCGGCATTAGCCCCCTGCATTTAGCAGCTGAGCGCAACAACGATGACATCTTGGAAGAGCTGATTGATGCCGGCTATGAGGTGAACACCAGCCTCTCCACTGAACGCTCCTGCCTTTATGAGGACAGACGCACCACTCCCCTGTATTTTGCTGTTTTTAACAACAATATCTATGCCACAGAGCTCCTGCTGCAGGCTGGAGCCAACCCCAATGTTGACCTCATCAACCCCTTGCTCATCTCCATCCGCCACGGTTGCCTGAAGACCATGAAACTGCTTCTTGACCACGGAGCAAACATCAATGCCTATATTTCGAGCCATCCCACCACATTTCCAGCAACCATCATGTTTTCAATGAAGTACCTTTCTGTGTTGAAGTATCTCCTGGATCTGGGCTGTGATGCAGTTTCCTGTTTTCAGTGTCAGTATGGAAATTGCCCACACCCTGCATTAAATTACAGACGGGACAGACTTAATGATCCTCAGCTGTCCACAGAGCCAACTGTAATACAGGTAAGCACAGCTTAACCTACCTTTAACACTTCTGAGGACCTCTCTCACCTATACATCTTTATAACTCCATGTATTTCTTTTCCCACGTTTCCTGTGAGAGAAGTTGCCTTTAGTCCTACTTTACTTACGTAACAATAAGGCTTAATAAGAGTATGTGAGAGCTCCAAGTCCATGTTCAATGAATTGGGGAGAGCGGGGGGAAGGAGAGGGGAGATAGGCAAAATCTGCTGTTGCCCTAGCCTAAATTTCAGGTGAATTATAGGCATCTTGACAGCTTTTGCTGTCAGATCCACAATACTCTTTTCCTCTGGACCTGAGGTGCCAGGAGTGAAGCATGTTTTCTTGACAGGCAGTGTCAAATGGGCAATAGAGACATGCCTGTATTTCTCACCCTGTAACACCTGTTTTATCTAATAGAGAATTTAAATTCGTGGTTAAATTAAAAATGTATAGTCCTTCACTTTATGAGGGTAAACTAGTGAAAGTAAACTGGAAAAGCAGCCAGGAAGAGGGTGTATAAATCACTACATCAGCTACATGATTGCACATTATATTCAGTTTTCAAACAAGATTAGGAGATTTAGATCCATGACTCCATATCTTCAAAGCCACCTACAGGTTTTAGATGACCATGTCTTACGTGTGTATCTCTGCAGTCCTTTCCAAATATCAGCCACCATTTCCATTGAGCTGGAATTGGATTCTCAGTCCCCATAATCTCAGATTTCACTTTTTTTTTTGGTGTGTTATCTTTTCCTGTTGATTCCTTCCGAAATATCTCAAGGAAATCTGACACTCCAGTCCAAATTTACTATCCTTCAACATAAGACACTACAAAAACTATCAGAACGGCAGTTCTCTTTCTCTTTTGCAAAGCATTAGGGAAGCAATAAGTCAACTCCTGTATAGATTAAGTATACTTTTGTGCGATTTAGAAGATAGTGTCACTTAGGCCAAAGAAATGATCACCAATAAACCGAATCATCTCTGAGTCTTGAACCATGATAAGGTAGGACAAGAGTGAAAGAAGGCTGGAGTTCCAAGGCGAAGAGAGCGGATTTGTCTGTACCCAATGTGATATCCTGTCCACACAAAAATTGGTCTGTTTTTACTTAATTAAATGTGGTATTTCCTTCTGGATGTCACCTAACACAGGTTAAAAATAACCTGTAATGAAATATTGTGTCACACACAAACAGAGCCGTCACCTCAAAAGTCAGACCACATGAGGCAGAAGAAGCAAAAGCTGTGTAAAATCATATCTGTGCCTAGAGAGAGATTGGTGAGGGACGAATGCACACGGAGCAGAAAAAAAGTGATGCCTTCCCTCCAGTATTAATTTAAAATTGCTTCTTAGTGCTAGATTTCTGGCTAATAAAAGTAAGGCTTGTCTGGTCTAGCTTTGTGACGTGGCTCTGATATGGTTTGTAATCTGAAATACAGAACGTCACATGAAACTGTAGCTTTTCTACACAAAAGATGTGCATTTCTTATTTTCCTGTGTGGAATTACATAACTAAAATAAATCTGAATTAGTCTTTACACAGTAAAGACTATGAGCTATTGGAGGTGGATTTGAAAAATACCATGCTATAAATCATTATTGCTTCTACTGAATTAGTGTTTCCTGGAGAAAGTGAGTGCAGAAAAATGCATGCTGTCTCAGTCCCCATTTCCCGAATTGCAGTGTCAAAACCAGGGACGTGGGGAGTGAAGCATCCTACTGCCGCGAGAGGGCATTCGGGGGCCTGCCAAGACTTCAGGCAAAGTATGTTCCGAGTCCAGAGTCACTCTGTCCCCGAGACAATTCCTCTGCCTGTAGTTGCAGTTTTGCATTATTTTGCTTCAGTTTGCTCTGCTTGCTTTCTTGTAACATGTTTTGGAACATTTTTAATCTGGAAAACATTTTCGTAGGATGAGTTCATGAATAGGAAAGAGAGAAAAAGACATGCAAAGTCTCTGGCAGAGACAAGAGGAGAGCAGTAAGATCTAGAGTTTTATTACTCTGAAATTGTGTCCTCATTTAAATTCTGTCAAAGTGGAGTTACTGCTTGGAGGTGTAGTGCAGAGCCCCAGTTTGCACGCTGTATGTGTAACTGCATGGTAAGGGCATACACTGGAGAATGTCAGATATGCCAAACTGAATTTCCTATAAACAATTTGGTAGAAAACTCTGGGTTGCCCACTGGGAGCCTCCCAACATTACTACTATTTAATTTTTCTGACAAACATTACATGGGGATGGTCAGAGAAACAAAGCCAGAAGAACAGTAAACACCTCTGAGGATGCTCTCACCTGGAATTAAATGACCTTATAATTCTCTACAGCTTTATTCTTCCTAGGTGTGCTAATGTTTTATTTCTGAATAAGAATATCCACAGAAAATCTCAATGCATTCTGAGTTAGTGCCCATACGTGCACAATCAAAGGAGATCTAGTTACAGGAGCTTAAACTGAAAGAGGTTTAGGCTGGTGCATTTTCTTTCTCATCTGGGGTGGGCTTGGAAGGTGCAGACAATTTCAGTGACTAAGAAGATGGATGGTGCTTAAGTCACCATTATTCAATAGTGTCCAGCTATGTGTCTGAGTCCTCATCCACACAGCATGATTTAGTTCATCTTAACTTATCTGACTGCTCATATGCAGATAAATCCAAAGATATCTTCATCATATGCAGCACCCTAACAGAGATAGATGGAGCTGTCTGGTATAATACATGCATTTAAATCAAAGTGGGAAGGCAAGTAACTACTTTTTTGAAATGACACTGCTTAAAGTCAGCTCTGATGCTTCAGTATTTCCATAAGCAGCCCTCCATGCTAAAGCTCTGAGTACTCTGCAGCTTGTCCTGTGGGCAACAGATGTGAAGAAGAGAAAGGGACCCAACATGCTGGGTCACAGTGCCCTGAGCTGCACACACCTTGCAGCAGCTCCCTCATCTGCTAAGGGCAAAGCTCTGAGGGCTCTTCTTCCTACCCATTCCCCTGGTAGTAGAACTGTCAGACCCTGTAAACAATTCAGCATCCTTTCTGTGCTCCAGAGGTAGGACTCCAGCAGGGTTTTGTGTCCGCCTGTAGCTGCAAAGAGAGGATTCTGTCCTCAGTTGGGGAAAAAAAAAAAAAAAAAAAAAAAAAAAAAAAAAAAAAACATTAGTAGAAGTTTTTTCCCATGGTAAACTGGAAATAGCCTTCACAGCTGGTAGAAATTTGGGACCAAACAAGTAGCTGGGATTGTTGCTATTGTCATAGCTTCTGAGGGTGTATTCATCTCTCACTGACTGTAGTGAATCTCTTTTTTCTTGAAGTTTTGTGACATGGTGTCTACTCCAGAGATGAGTCGCTGGGCTGGGCCAATTATTGATGTTCTCCTGGATTATGTGGGTAACGTGCAGCTCTGTTCCCGTCTCAAGGAGCATATAGACAGCTACGAGGACTGGGCTGTCATTAAAGAAAAAGCAGGTATGGTCACTCAGAAGAGAATCCACCATTGGATTCAATATGTCATGTCACCATCTCCTCTTAGAGTTTTCATTCTTCCTGTTGAAAAGTCCTGTAGGTTTTTAACCTGATCTCTGCAGGACCAGACAGTCAGTATCCATCCCTTAAACTCAGAAGAATTTCCCTACTGAGACTGATTTACATTTTGGACCAGTTATGAAGCACTAGAAATTGCTGGGTTGCAATTGACTCTGATGTTAAATCCATCAGCTGTGGATCTGACCCACTGGAAAAAAGCCTTTGCAGTGCAGGAAGGCTTATTTAGCTTCACCTGGGATGCAGGCAGATCAGGGTAAGCGGCCAGCATGACCATCTCCAGAGCAGGCCAGCAAGCACCAGTGGCTCTCCTCAAATAGTCTTTCTCACAGGATCCAAAGTCTTTCCTAGTCATTATCAGAATTAGTTGTCCAGCACCAAGCTAAACTGGGAAGGTTTTGCATTAATTTTCAGTGGGGAGGAGGAGTACTGTGAAGCAGCTTGCTTAAGTCCTCCCAGAAAGCCCACTGCTAGGCTGAGATGGGATACAGCACCCATCCTCCAGCCCTGCTTCCTTTCCTACGTCATGAATGAGCAGCCACTGATGCCAGACACATTATCCCTCCATTATATAAGTCCCATTTTTCCTCCTCCCATTCTCCTCTTGCCACTGTCCCAGCTGTCCCTCTCAAGTTCAAACCTGCTCTGCTCATGTTTCTGACCTGCCTCTCTTTCAGAGCCCCCACGGCCCCTTGCCCATCTTTGCCGTGTCAAGGTACGAAGCCTGATCGGAAGAAACCGCATTAAACTTATTGACACCTTGCCTCTCCCGCACAGACTGATTCGATACCTACAGCACGACTACACGCAGTGACCTCAGGCACAGCAGACACGCAGCGGCTTCCCAGCACGGCACCTGACACCATCAGCATGGTGAGGGTGCACGCCACGCGCAGTGGAGAGGAATTGCTGCTGGCTTGGTCAAGTGCACTCCAATGATTAATCTAAAATCTAAAAGAAATATGCTTCTGGAGCACAAGTAAGAAGAAAATGGAGGAGGCAGATAAACATTAGGTTTTGCGGGAGAAAACACATGTGATTCACCTCAGAGCTTGGTCTGCAAAGAAAAAGAAATGAAAGGCAACTCTGAAAAATGAATAGTGCTGAAGCAAGTACCAGTGGGAGACTGAAAGGTATCCTGGGGTCTAGTGGAGCTTAGCATCCTTGCTGTGATCACAATTCAGAAGTTGTCAAGAGTCAACATATTTGGGAAAACAATCACATTTCATTCACTGACTGAGATTTTTATTTTAGTTTCTACTCTATGTTTTGGATTTCTGCTCAGTGTGCTGATTGCTGATTCTCTGATAGTTTGACACCAGCTTGTTAACACTTATACTTTTTTTTTTTGGACCTTTCTTATTGAGTAGAGTACTTGATTTCCGAACATTCAAAGCTCAGAACTTTATGCTGATGTTGAGTTCTTTAATACTCAAGAGAAGGTTTATTTAAGAAGGATGTAAGAATTGTATTTACACACAGCAAATACAGTTCATGTTGTATTACATTTGCAATAAGAAGAAGATGAAATTCTCCTTGAGAGAATTTTCTAGACTGGGGGGCTTGAAAGAAACTCTGAGCTCTTTTTTATTTTTTATTTTTCATTTCTGTAAATTAGAAGTAGCTGCACTGTAAACAGTAGCTTGAGTCTGTCATGAAGCTGATGTCAAAACAGAACAAAGGCCTAGAGGAGCATCAACAGTGACAGAGAGAAAAGAGGCAAGGTGCATAGGGAAAGACAACACTGCAAAGCCAACTTTATCTGTTGTTCCACTGGAAGATCTCATACCTATGAAATCCAACCTCTCTTACCTCCTTGGACCTCTGTGGCTATAACAGTACCATCACTGGAAGAAAAGAGGGAGTATCTCGAAATGAGAAAATGCAGACTTTGAGATTTAAAAACACAAATGCACAAAATTAGGCATCTAAAACTTTATTCAGATTCTTAAACAATGCCAAGTTGCTTGTGCTAGGTGTAGTTCCACTGAAGCCAATGGGACGACATTTGGTGTCAGATATTACTGAGGCAGAATAAAAGTCCAAGGATTTAGCCCTGAATTTCCTGACTTTGGAAGTCTGAAGTATCTATTAGCTCCCTTTGACACTGATGAAAGTTATTATCTCAGCTTCTTCGAAAATTAGGTCACCTATTTACAGCTCAGATGCACAACTGATTTATGGCAGCTTAACAAGTTGCCATCTATCAGCTGAACCACCATAATTGTCCGTGAAATTCTTTTATTGAAGTTTTTAACAAGTCACAATCCCGCACAGCTGGGGAGGCTGAGGAGCCCACGAAGGGTTATTGGCAGTGTCTGCAGCTCAGTTGACAGGTGTGCCTTGCTGAACCGCTGCAATTTGATGCATGCCTCGGTCCCACCCAGGCACCTAAGTAGAGATGAAAGAGCCTAAATTTGTAACCATGTCTTGGTGGATCTTATGTTAGAAGAACGCCCTTTATTACCTTAGGTAACAAAGGAGTTGTGCAGTAGGGTTTGTTTTGATTCCCCACCAGAAATCTGACAGATCTGTTCTTTGTTTGTTGGCCTGCGTGCCATGCAACCAGGTACAAATACAAGTAGGGAAAATGCATTGCACCAACTTTTCTTTGTGTGGAGTTTTACACTTTAACACAGGAGTAAAAGTGTATTGCACACATACAAGTCTGTCTGGGCACAGAAATCCAGATTCTGTGATGATTTTGATTGAAATGCATTCAGCGCTCTTGGGATAGGATGTGAGTGAAAGCAGAAATGGTTACAGCTAAGGGCACTCTGTCCATAGCTGTCCCCTTCCCAAATGCAAAAGCAGTTGAAAAAACAGTTTCAATTGACACTGAACTGTCACCTTCTTGAAAAGCTTTGGAAAGCCAGGTGAGATTCCTCCACTGCTGAAATTTCATTCAGTACCTTCCATTACCGCCAGGACCTGAGCCCTTGTCCTGCAGCATGAGCCCACCCCTCCTACAGGAAGGAGTGAGGTCCCTGGAGGCACCATGCCATCTGCCCAGTACAGCCATCAAGAAGATGGAGCCTCCCAGTGACACCAGATAGGAGCTGGCCACCACTGCTGGCCGTACAGAGGACAGCTGGCTGAGCAGGCTGCTGAAACCTCCCAGAGCTGTGAGTCTGTCATCTTTAGAGCAGTATTGCCAGTGGAGGCCCTGTAATTGTAAGCAATAGTTTGAGAAATTGAAAGCCACCTGTGGAGGTCTTGCATCCCTCACCTTACAGGGCTGAGCAGTGAAGGTCTGGGTCTTACTCATATTGATGCAAATCAGAAGAGAAATCCTTGAAATTAAATGAGTGTAACAGAGCAGAATTGTAGGGGGTGAGAGACACACAACATGGCCTGGTGGAGACCATTTACTTAAGCATTTTTTTGGTGTGCAGTGATAACCCTGGAGATTTCTGGCTGGTAGAAGGGTTCAAAATGACCACCTGCATGCATAACTGCAGGAGTGAATTAGCCATCCCAAACTGGGAATTTCCCCTGAACCAGCACTGTTATGTATACAAAAATCTCACAAGCTGCAATTTCTTTTTATGTCCTCAGACAAGCCCATACTGGGTTTGGGCAGATCAAATACAGAAATTCCATTTCTTTTTTCAGTCAAAAGACCTTCACCTCTTTTGGGAGACTTATGTCCTGGTTGCTCACATCTGTCTGTCCTGAGCCACAGAGCCATTGGCCTGATATGAACATACCAGAGCTGCAGGAAGGGCAAGGACCCACACTGCACAGAAGCAGGAGAGACAGGGATGTTAGAGGGGGAATCTAGGAATTAGGTTATTGCGTTGTTTCTGCTTGATCTTTACTGCGACCCTTCATACAGTCAGTTTACATTTATTTGCACTGAAATGGAGCCAGCTACCTCTCCTACACTCTGGTCACTGACACAATGTTTTATGTGTGATACTGAATCTGCACAAAAATGACTATCATTTACTGCATCTGTCCAGAAGTTGCTGTGAAAAGACAGATACCCAACATCCCAAGCAACCCAAGCTTTGTAAGCAGATCAGTCGTCCCAGTACAGGGAAAAGTGGCTTGTTTATATGGAGCATGATAGAATCCTTCAGAGATGATGACTTTTTGTGAAACGTTGTAGGAGTATTTCATGACCAGGTTCTGTACTTTTTCTTACTGCAACATGTGCAATTCACTTTATGTTCTTGTGCACTTTTTTGATTTTTTATTTTGTATCAATGCTTTTTCATTTACCTCTCCCTTCCCATTATTTATGAAAGCTATTGTAGTTTCAACAGTTTAAATTTGCACTGCTGTAGTAAATAACCACTCTCGGTTGTTATGTTTCCATCTTTCAAACAAAGTACAAATTAAACAATCAGACTCTGAAGGGTTATCATCTGTTCTGAACAATAGTATTGAACAACCAAACACTAAAACAGACAGGAAAAGTCTGAATCAATCCAAGCTTGAACAATTAATAATTTTGATGGTAATCTCAGGGGTGAGAGAACAAAGTATTGCAAGAGAAGAGAGAGAGTTGTTATTCTTTGAAAACCTTTTGGAAAGTCTCACGCATCTCCATTCAGTGATTCTGAATATACTTAACAATTCGCTTCTGTTCATTTGTGTTTTACTTCACTGCTGATCCAGTTCAGAGCCCCAGCAAGGGCCAGTTCCTGCTCTGGGCTGGGGAGGGAAGTTCCATGTCACAAAGGAATTTAAGGCTTTTAAAACATAACATCAGCCTGAATCTGAGGGTAAGTGTGTAAATGTAAGTGCATTGGCACTATAGAACCAGAATGGTCTGGTTCTATACTTTGACTTAAAATATGCTATACAGCTATATCAAAAATGTACAGCAACACACATTCAAATAAACAGTTAAAAAAAAAAAAAGAAAAAGAAAGAAAGAAAAAAAGAAAAAAAAAGGTATGTAAAAGGTAGAAACTTGTTTTTAACTCCTTTCATTTTCTGGATGTCTTCAGAAATGAAATTTCTGCAAAAGCTATCCACTTTGCCAAGTATTTCAATGTTGATAGAAATCTTGTGCAACATGCAACACTTTCAAATTTCTCCCCTGAAATCAAGCAGGAGCAGTTGCCCACAGCAATTTTTGCAATACCCGCTGCTCATTCCATGAGCTGCTCTGGTCACCCAGAGGGAAATCAAGAGTGATGCCAAGGAGGCTGCTCTGCATTGGCAACACTGAGAGAGACCAGTTCAGCAGCAGGCTTCATCTGGATTACAACAGTGACACAGAGCTGTTTATGTGAGAAAGTGCTCCTATTTCCTTGTAAAAAATACCTTGCCTATGGCTCTGCAATTTTAGAGCCATAATTCTCCTCCCACTAAAGTAAATAGGGCTACTGTTTCTGATTTTTGTTGGAGTCACCTTAGAGAGGGACAGTCTCCTCATGGATTTTTTTTTCCCCAAAAGAGAAAACATAAAGACATAAGTATATTCATATCTTCACTTCTGGATCAAGAGCTAACCTGATGCCTTTATATCTTAGACCATCTCTTTACCACCTTGCACCTTACATGTAGTTGCATGTATGCGCTACCAAAGCCATTTTTTTCTCTGTGTCCTATAGGTGAGGCTTGATACATATGTGAAGTACTGGTAGCAGTGAGAAAGCAATGAAAACCATCTCTGCTTCTACTTTGGATCTGCTAGACCAGTACACTACAGCCATTGTTTCCATAAAAGTAAACATCACTGGGATAAACTGAGAGGTTTGGGAAAAGAACAAGCTACATTTGGCCTGAAAGTAGTTTATGTCCTAACTACAGTTGCAGCCTGGTTACATAACACCAAGCCCCATCACAAGATCCAAAATTAGACTCCATGGTGGCTTAAGATGATAATTATTTCATGACCAAAATTGGAAATTGCAACGAATGAATGAAATTTTCATGACTGCACTTGAAAGCATAGCCTGTTTTTCTCTTCACGGAGATACCAAGAGTGATAGAGCGCTACAGTAGCCAGAGGCCAATGATATTGAGGCTACTTTTTGTTGAATCCTGGGAGAAGATCCCATTCACTCCATCAAGAGCAGGTTCAGGTCTGGGGAGGTCACAGATGTCCATTCTCTGTTCTTTTTTCCCCCATAACGCACAGCTCATATCCTCAGTGATTTATTCCAGTGTAACTGAATAGCTATACATCTGCAGTATTAAAACTTTCAGATCTCATGTTCTGTGCCTTAGCAAAGAGCACAGAAAGGTTTAAGAAAAACTTAACTTAAAAAAAAAAAACTATTAGCTTTTACAATGCCACTTCACTAAAATAATTAAGAAAACACTTGGCAAATCATTTGTAGCCAGTGATTACATCTTAAAATCAGGCAAAATAAAAGATCTCTCTGCTAGACAGAAATGAAGGCAGGCTATTCTATGCTCTTTTCTATCGTATTTTATGTTTTTATATTCAACTAGTTAGACAATTTATCATTTTTTTTTGTTAGTGCAGAACAATTTCTGAAGCAGAAATTCATTCAGCTTTCATTTGCACTGGTTTAACACCAGCTAATTTCCCAGCCTCAGAAGAATTACATTTGATTTACATCACTCTGAATGGACAGAGATTTCAGCCCTCGTGTCTAACCACCAGTTGCAAATTAAACCTGAGTCTACCCAGTGGGGCAAAAGTAAACACTACATTTGCAGAATCACTAGAATAAAATTACCTCCTTTCTTCCTTTATTTTTTTTTAATTCTCTCAGTATTTACACACAAGAAGAGCTTAAATCAATTCACAAACATGGTTTCTACATTAAATACTGTCCTTCCAGTCTCTTGCACGCAAAAGGAAGTGACCTGAATATCTTGACTTCTCCAGAATTACTTAAAAGTAGAAAAACTGTTTCAAGCAGTTTAATTCATTTCATTTTGCTGCTGTGGCCACAGGGCAACCCCCAGAAGATGTTCCCACATGGAGGAGGTCTCCTAGGTGTTACAAGTGCAGGCTGTGAATGGCCCGGAGCCCCACTCGCCATGGCTCGAACAATGTGATACACAAAAGGGGCCTGGTTTGCCCCACACGCCATGCCACCAGCTTCATAAGGCTTATTCCTGACTTGCACCCGTGTGGTGAGAGGAGCATGGAGGCCAAACTGTTCCTGATTCACTGCAGCCTGTGCAGGAGGACGACTGTGTGTTCGCCGCCATCTCTGGATGCAAACTCCTTTCCCACACTGCCAGCAGCTCGTGCCCACTGCCTAACCTGACACTTCAGCTCTCTCTGAAGGGCTGTCGTGTCCAGCGTGACACCCAACAGCCTTTTTCCCCAGCTAAAGATACCCAAAAACATTGAAAATTGGTGGGGGGACAGCAGGCTTGGTGGGGATGGGTTTCAAAACCACGGGCCTGTAGAGTTTCTGCCCCGTGCCCTCCGCCTCCTTGCAGAAGGGCTGTGCCTCGGCCGGCAGTGTGGCCGCACTCTTCCTCCACAGCCCCAGCCCCGGGAAGGGCGATGGGGGCAGTGTCCCCGGGGGCTGGTACACAGCTGGCCCAGGGCACGGGAAGGGGCAGCAGGTCCAGGTGCCCACCCGGCCTGAGAGGACTCCAGCAGGGTCTTTCTCCCCTGCTTGCAGGGCAGGCTCAGGGGGGCTCTCGGGACCAGCAGTGTCCAGGCTCCTTTTGCTTTTCTTCCCCTCAAAGGGAGGAGTGTCTCTGGGGGCTGACAGCCCCTCAGGGCCTGGGGGGAAGCCCCTGGATGGCAGGCTCTGGGCCGGCCGTGGCTCTTCCCAGAAGGAGGCGGGGAGCTGTCGTTTCCTCATGGGCACCTGGTCAGGCCTGCCTGCCTCGGGGTTTTGCTCTGGCAAAGCCCTCTCCCCAGCCAGGCTCTCAACTGCTTCAGCTGCCTGCAGCACCTTCTCAGCGGCAGCCCCGCTGTGGGGACCGGGGTCGGGCACCTCGGGCTGGCAGCCACGGGCCCTGTCCTCCGCTCCCCGTCGTGGGCCGCACTCCGTCGGCTTGCCAGGATGGCACCGCGGGACCCGCGAGTACTTCTGAGAAAACCTCTTGAGCTGCTTCTGCAAGTATTTTCTGTGGTCCACTGACCGGCGGCAGGGAGCGGATTTATCCAGAGCTGCCTTGATGTCACTGGAGGCCAGGTTGACGAAGTTCAGCAGGGTTTTTACCTCGCTGTCCGATGCCATTTCACTGGACGTCGCGTGCAGAGTTTCCCATTAAATGTTTATAATCCGTCCCGGGTAACCTGCGAGACACAGCGGGCAGGCTTGGAGTGCAACGCCTGCATTCAAAACACATCAAGAGAACTGAGGGAGGTTACGGGAAGCCATCAAACTTCTCAGCTATGCCCACGAGTTATCCATCAGGTCGCCTCCGAGCAGGCAAGCTGCCGGCAGAGCTGCCGCACACCCGCAGCCCCTCAGCGCTGCCCAGGCACGGGGTCTGCTGGCTTAATCTTGTTAGGTGAGGCTTAGGTGGGGAAGAGAAGCCAGGACGGCTGCTCCAGCATCCCTGCAAGCAAGCGCAGACACTCACCCGGAGCACGGGAGCTTCTCCGGCGGTGCTGGCGGAGGAGAGCCCTTCTGCTAATCTCGTTAGGCAGGTTACACACCGCCACCCCAGCGGAGCAGAGGCAGCCCGTGTGTGGAGGCAGTTGAGCGAGCACTTGAGCAAGCTGAATGAATATCGACTCCACCGAGTTCGGGGCTCTCTCAGGCCAATCAGGAGCCACTTTGCCAAATACAAAGCATCCCAATCAGGCATCAGCCTCCCCTTCTCACATTCTTTGCCATCACAAATTGTTGCCATGGGGACAGCCACAGAAAGACAGCTAATAAATACAATAATTTCCCCGCGATTTCTACCATTCTCCCCTATCCTCTTCACCCCTACCAAGGCCTTTCTTTTTTAAAGGCACAATCCAAAGGGAAAGTGCTGATGATGAGTTAGGAAAGTTTAGGCACCCTTTTCTCTGCACTCCCTGAAGCTGTCTGGGGGCTGATACTGACCATGCTTCATTGGCACAGGACAATGTAATACGGGGGACCCGGCTAGCCTACTTTTAACCGTTCCCCATCAGAGACTTTTTTTTTTTCCAGGGGAGGATGATGTCAGAAAAAGGTAGGAAAGGAACAAATCTCTAAAGAGATGTGCAGATATCCATGGAAAGGGAGCTTGAGCGCTCAAGAATCTTGTCTTTATGTTTGCCCCCTCAATTGAGTTACACAAAAGCTGAATTACCCATTCAAACTACCCGGACAAAAGGATGGAGTTGGATAGTACTCTTGCATCTGTAGTCAAACAGTTAGAGACTTAAATCGAGTCGTCATGATGGAGAAAGAGTTAGACAAAGCCCATAGAATTGCCATCAGCAAACATTTTCCTGTGTCATATTAGTGGGTCTCCATGACTCCCCCTGGCCTGGGGACAATAGCACAAGTTTGCACACTCGACTACTGTCACCCTGCCAACGCTGGCAAGGAGCAGAAACAGGACAATCCTTTAAGGGGAAAGCATGCCCGCTGCAGGGAAGGTAAGAAGAGAGGGAAGAAAAGGCGTGTGAAATGCTAATTGAGCTGCTTCCTTTACTGATCCAGAGTTATGCGAGCCCTCCGCCTTCTCGCAGGCTTGTCCCTAAGGGGTGGCAATAACTTAATAGCACAGTAAAACTGGGAGCCAGAGGAAAAGGAGAGCAGAAGGGCTGCCCTTGGTGCATGCCGGCGGCGCAGAGCTGGCGGCAGCCCCGTGCCCCAGCGCGGGACTCGCTGCCTCCCAGTGCCGGCACAGAGCTGCTCCAGGGATGGGAACCTGCGGAGCGGGGGGCAGGCTCTGCGTGCTGGGAGATGTAGCCAGCCCAGGGGCAAGTACACGTGTGCCTTGGGGAAGGCAGGGACTGAAGTCCAAGCTGTCCCCCCTTTTGCAAGTAAAATCTTCCTTGCTGACAAGAGGCGTTGCAGGTCTGAGTGCTGAGTTGAAAACTGTGGCATTTTACATGTATTTCTATTGCTCTGGTTTTCCTTAGAGAAGGACAAGATCCAGACCGTGCCACTATACCATGCTCCAGGCTTACTCCTCAGTGTCCTCATACCACTGCACCCAGTACTGCCGCTCCATTTCACACCATTTCTCCCAGCCCGACCCAAGCCACATGTGCCGGTGCCCACACAGTCTTGGGAGACCCTGGAACCAGGACATCCCACAGCAGGAGATGCTGCAGAGCCATTTGTACCGTGGCGGGCTGTAATGTCCCAAGAAAACCTTGGGGGCACCTTGGTGCTGTCTGAGGTGAGGCTGGCAGGGTGAGGGGCTTTTCTTTTGTCCTCCCAGTTTCTATTGCAGAAGCAGCTCCTACCCTGGGAGACTTGGTGAAGCTAAGCCTGCCTGCACCCTCCATCATCTTCCTCACACCATCAGGATGCAAATCTCTGCACAGCCTTCTCCAGTAAAACCTTGGGGAGGGAGGAGGACAGGGGCAGGGACAGGACACAACAGTTTCCAGTCACCTGCTCAAGTGTCTATTTTGGGATGCACTAGCTGGGGTTTGCCCTCTCTGTGACCCAACACATATCTTTCTCCTGCAGCTGAGGTTACAGAGAGAGGTTTTGTGGAGTTCATTTAACAAGACACACATTAAGGGATCACACCTTTTTTTTCAGGAACAAACTGCCTCCTGTGCTCGAGCGTTTGCCCCCAACCTGGCCATCACATTGCATCCATCTCCTGATGGAAATATAGTTGGTAGCCCAAAGGAATGAGAGAGAGAGACAGAGAGGTGTGGGACAGATATCAAGGAGCAAAGGATTGACTCAGGACATTAATAAGCTTTGTCCTCAGAGGCCTGTGAAACTCATGTCACATGCTTTGAGACCCTACTTTCATTATAGGGGATTTATAGGAAGGATATGGGATATATACTTGAGGATACAGGAAACCCAGCACCCCTCCGAGACACCCATGGCTAAAGTTCTCTCCCAGTCCCCATCCGTGCCTGTCCCCTCCTGGCAGGACACTTGCCCAGGTCACGGCTTCTTGGCCACCACGTGGCAGCTCCCCATGCCCCAGTGCACTTGCTGCTCCACATCCCATCCCCCTGCAGCTGGGTAACGGCAGGGAGCTGGAGGGGAATGAACCGGCAAGTGGGATTTAAAAACCAGAGCAACCCACCCTTTCAAGGTCAGACTCAGGTTGAGCTGCACAGGGTTTTCTCTAAGAGGCCACCGGAGCCCTTTTGTTCCTCGCTGCTCTCGCCATGTTCATCCCAATGTACATGTGAAAGGAACAATTAACAATAGGGCACTCCTCTCCGAGGATCCAGTGCACTTTGAAGTGTCCACCAACCAAAGGCTCAAGAATGATACATCATTTTCCACTGTGAACGTGTCAAACTAGTACAGCAATTGAAAAAATGTCTCCACATGCCTTCCCAGCATGCAGACAGGGACCAGCTGGAGAGCCACTTCATATCTGACATGTCACCCCCTGACAGCTGTCTTCTTGGGAATTTTTGGTATGTGAGGTTTACTAACTCCTTTTTTTTTTTTTTATTTTTTTGAAGTGAAGCACAAGAATAAATCCATTCACTTTAAAGTTGTAGCCAGGCTTCTCCTAAACATGCAGAATCTCATCCAAGACTAAATAAAGGAGAGATAAAAGAAGATTTTCTTCCACAAAAATACCTGGGAAGTGTTTTTAAAGTGTCACGCATTGAAAGTGATGTCACGATTTAGCCAATTCTACACCAAAACCTCCCCCAGCTTATTTCCACTCTGAGGGCCCCTTCAGCATGGGTATTCCAGCACCAGCATCTTCCTTGGACCGTGCAAGCAGACCCCTAACACAGCCCACTAATGGAGAAAGCTGTCCCTAAGCAGTAAGTGCACCGAGCAGTTTGGGTAATGTGCATACCCAAATCACTGCTGTTATTTGAATGGTCTGTAAAGCAAAGAGCAGCTCAGTGAGCAGCTGGGTAGTATAGAAGTGATGAAAAGCCACTGTGTTGACACTGGTTTGCTCAAAATTCCTTTTTGCCCCCAAAACCAGCACTTTTTCCCTATCTTAGCCTGAGCAATAAGTGTTGTTGTGGGGCACTCCCCCCTGTCAGTATAACAACACTGCATATTGCAGTGCTGGTATACCTTCTAGGCAGGCCTGGGCTGACATCAGCTCCAGGTGGCTTCTTGCCCTCCCTGATTTGGGGTAAGTATCAGTTGTCTAATGTATGCCTGTATGGTAAGACTGTTATCCCCATCTCTTCCTTATGCATGTTAAAACTAGGCAATATCCATTAATAATAATAATAATAAACTCAGATTTTTACTTAAAAAATAAGGCTTCTTAACAATTGTCAAAAGATTTGCCTTAGAGCTAAAGGTTTAGGTTCTTTGTGCTTTGGAGAGGAGAGGACTGGACAGGACAGGACAGGACAGGACAGGAGAGCAATGTTAATTATGCACTGACGGCATAACAGTGGAAAATGTTGTTTAATAGCATACTGCAAGAACTGGGTGGCCTTAGGAGTTAATGCAGTAGGAGAAGAAAGGGTAGTAGGAATGCTTGGCCACATACTTCAGGGACTGATAACAGGAATTTCTGCCATGAGGAGAGAAGTCGCTGTCTGGAAATGAGCAGGAAAAACAGGTGATAGGACGAAAATGAGCGTCACCTCTCCATCCAGTCTGACCTTCCTGGAAGGGTTCAGTAGAACATGATCCAGAAGGGGACACTGATGGGGTTCTGGCCTCCAGACAGGTTATCCCCTGGACTCAGAGCCTGGCCCAAACCTGGGGCACAAACCTGCAGATTCATTTTGAAAAGGGAAAAAGACTCCTAAGCTCCATTTATAACTGTTTCTGAGGATGAAATCCATCTGTCAGAAAGCTGGCAACCTCTGTGCTAGCAGCCTGGCACCTGCTGCAAGGACCTGAAGGACCTCGGGGGCAGACAGGCAAATAGTGCCCGTGGCTGCAAGACCAGTCCCCAGGGGATGTCTGACAGCGTCTGCACGGGCATGCAACCAAAGCCCTTGGCATCTTTTCCTGCGCCCCAGCACATGGGCGCTGCGGACAGCAGCAGGGATGTTTTGCCCTCGCACTGATCCTCACACTGCCTGGTCCTGTCCTGAACCTGGGTCCTCTAAGCTCAGGGAGGGAGAAAGGACAGAGAATATGGGATTTCTCCCCAGACTCACACTGCCCAGCTCCCTCTCCTCGTCTCCCTGTTGAAGCCAACACCTCTCCTCCCAGGGGAGCAACCTGGCTCTCCCAGCAGACGCAGCTTTGACTCTTCTCCCCCCACCACCCCCTTTTTTTTTTTTTTTCTCTTGACAATCTGCTGTGACCTGAGTGACATCCTCCCTTTGCTTTCAGTCCCCGATTTTCTGCACTTGGGGACAGACTTTGGGCAGGCCCCGAGCGCCGAGCGGCGAGGGGGGGCCGCCGAGCCCCACAGCCTGCCATTCAGGCAGATGGCGGAGGGGGCTGCTCTGAATAGCTCCTGTCAGTCTCACAGAGCGAACTTTACAATTGTGCTACGTGTTGGACTGCACGTGACTAATGCCATTCTTCTGCAGGCTGCAGGCAGGACACAGCTGTTTCTTTAAGGAAGAAAAAAAAAGTCTTTTTTTTTTTTTTTTTTTTTTTC